TACAAAAACTCCCAACAATCTTTTCTTTATATCTGAGCACTGTTCCTGGGATCACATGAGTTATGTGTGAGCTTTCTAACCTCAGCTTTTATGTTGTATCTCCTGATGCTAAACGAGACTTTCCCTCGTTTGAGTCGTGACTTGCTGGCTGCTAATGAAACCTGCTGCTCTACCCTTTAAAGCCGGTTTTGCGTAACTATTTATAAATCCCGGTAGCTCTGCAACCACGTAAGTTAGCACAAGAATTTTTTTTGCATATGAAACCGGAGGAGTTGTACTTACATCTTATGCCATCAGCTTGTCGTAGGTCACGGTTTCCTTCCACATATAGCTTTGCAAAAACTGCATAAAAAGCACTTGCAGCAACACAAACATAATATTCCAGAAACACGCTTTGCCGATCCGATCAGCTGTTCGTAACACTTCCTACATCCATCAGCACGAACTATAACATGTCCTCCATGTCCTGCCCAAAACCGGAAGTGACGTCATTTTGCGGAAATGTAGTTTTTTACCATCAGGCCCTATGAGCCTATACTGGTGTTTTTAAAAGTTATGTTTGACTTTATGACTTTCTGTGTCGTTTCTGGGATGCTTAGGACTCATATTGCACTGCTGGAAATAGTTTATTTTGATGCACATGCTGTTTTATTTGCAAATTTGCATTATAATATAATATTTTAGTTTTTCCTGCAGTATATAAAAATTGGTGTATTTCAAAAACAAAACTATGAAGACACTCAAAATAAATTTCCTGTGGTGGGAAACTATTTTGTGCAACTTTTTTGTATTTACAGTTTTGAGGGATAAGCCTCTTAAATTTCTCTAACTAGAAATATATGTTAAAAAACAAAAACAATTTTCAATTTTTTTGTAGTTTATTGCACTTTTTTGCAATTTATTTAATTACTATGCACTTAATGCAGACATATTATTAAAATTTAGGCTGTAATGGTTGTATTGATGTATAGCAACTTGAAATGCTCCCAAAAATGGCTCCACAGCATGTAAAAATATAATATAAGCTCTGGCGGACTTGGTTGCTATGGTAGGTCTTAAAGGGTTAACTGCAAAACACCAGTGTCGTTACTCCAGTAAAAGATAAAAACCAGAGATAGTAAATGTAACTCTATGCAAAAAGGAGGAACAATATTAAAAATACGGCCCTTATTGTGCAATATTCTACAATAAATCTTACAGATCAAATAATATTGTGCACAATATAAACAGATTTATTGGTCTGCTGAGGTGAAACTGAGATTTAGCATAAAAAAGAATTCAGAAGATGACAGTGATGTGATCCTGAAGGTCAGGAGGCTCTTTGTTATTCCTGTGATGCTTCGCCTGTTCAGAACACAGCAGTTAAATATAATTACAATAGTAATTTTGCTCAGCAGTAAAAACCTCTGAAGCCCCTTTTTAGACTGATGCTCAGCTCCATCAGATAAGAGCATCTCCTGTCTTCAAACAAGCCACAGAGAAGAAACCTCAAGCTGCTTCTGCACGTCTGCCGTAGAGAAACAGTTCAACAGTTTTTGTACGAGTGTTTTTCACTGTGTTTACGGGGCACAGTGACTGAAGTCAGCCTGACAGCTTTACAAAAACCCATCCACTGCTTTTCCAGGTCTGAACGCTGCTCATGCAGAGCAGAAGAATAAAGTTCACAGGAAGGCCTCTGTTCAGTCAGCAGGTTCACACATTTTTAGGTTCTTTGGAGACTTTTTTAACCATCAAAATAAAAACTTTATTAAAAAAA